CTGCCCTGGTGTTAGGGTGTAGCTGGCCAGTTGAAGTTGGGGGGACCGGAAGATCCGCATGGTCTTGTTTTATGGGTGTACCAAAGTGGTCGAAAGTTGAGCAGCATCTGCCTTTAATGGCAGCGAGAGGGAAGAGAAATTTTTATGGAAGAGAAAGAAACTCGTAAAGTTCCCTGGCAAGGTCCCACCGGGTCTTGATGAAGATCCTCCCACCTTTCCACCTTCCCCCTGGCCCAGAGCCACTCTGCTGATCTGTGAGGCACAATCTTCATTTGTTGGCTACTAGCAGAATGTAGGCGCCCAATTCTTTTTGATTCGTTAGAGCCAACTGTGAAAGAGGCTAGCGGTAGGTTCACAGCACCGACGGGCAGGGAAGAGACAGATGCTGGATGAAAGACTATTGGAAATTCATTCAGTTTTTCTGTGTTAGCCAGGAGATCGCAATTGGCTTATTTGGAAATTTTAGGTTTATGTCTCTAGTCTTCTTAAATCCTTTACAGATTTAGAGTCCAGTCTGCCTGAGAGCTTTTTAACCATGTAAGAAAGCTTTCTTTAGCAAGCTTGGGGCAGCCAAAACCGATTCTTTAAGGATGTCGGGACTTAAAACCTCCTGTGACTTGGCATCAACTCCTCTCCTTCCTTCAGTGTCCATTTTCTCTCCCTCCAGAGTCCCGAGGTCTGTGTTTATCCTGGGAATGGCTTCAAGGAAGTCGGGGGAACAGTTTTGCCACAAGAGGGGGGTGTTTTGATTGATAGGATCACTGGCCACACGTTCTTTTTGCAAATGACAGCATTCTACAGAACTTCGGTGGAACATGCTTTCATGTAAACTGTGAAGTGCTCTACAGGGTTGGAGAGGAAAGAAATGAACGTAGCCCATTGTTTTAAAGCCAGAGATTAGCTTGGAAAAGGGACAGGGAGGGGCAGTGGAACCCAGGTCTGCCCAAGCAGCCCAGCTGACTAGGGACTGGAAATGACATCTGCCTGCACTGTTCTTCCGCCAGCCACATCCTGAAGTGGGGGTGCGGTGGGGAGTGGCATGCAAGCGTTCTCCTCCCGCTCGGCCCCCTTCCCTTGTGAAATAAGGACTTTCTGTTCATCATCTCCTGTAATTAAAGACACAGATCAAAAAAAAAAAACCCACAGAATTGAGAAATAAAAGGGGAGTGTTTGCCTACACAAGGGGAAGTGAAAGCGGGTTGCTGTTTCATGCTAAGACCCCGTGACTGGCGTGTCCTGTGACTGGCTTGTCAACAGCAGTTTCCACCATCTGCGTCTGTCCCAAGTTTGCGAGATTTGTGGGGCTGTGGAGAGAGAGGAAGGCGTCTGGCGCTCAGTGGAGTGAAATTGCCACCACTCTCAGGGCATCTGTGTCTGTCCCCTCTAGGAGGGGGACAGTTTGGCTTCATACTCTTCGGGCTCTCAGCAGTCAGAGCCCTTTTGAATGTTAAATGTGGAAGTTAATAGAGGATAAAGAGCTTATTTTAATTCAGATTCTTCTTGGGGATGTGGAGGTGTTGGAACAGGTTTGGGGTGAACTAGCATTACCTGGGGGCTCGAAATGGGGGTAGGGGGTGGGGGAAGGGGCAAAGAGAGGGAGGGAGCAGGGCAGCCCCTGGTTACCTTGTCAGCGCACGCCAGGCACCGTGTAGGCGCTTTGGACCCTTCAGTTCATTCTCAACTTCCGCCTGGAGGCACTGTGGTCACCAGCTCCGTTCTACAGGTGGTGAAAGTGTGGCTCAGGGAGGGGCAGTGCCCAAGGGTGCCAGCCAGTAAGTGGCAGAGCCGAGGCCAAACACAGCCTCCTGACTGCCAGCCCAGAGCTCGTCCTCACCGCTGGCCACAGCAGCTGGTGGCCCCTTAAACCCCAGCCCAGGTGCTGCCACAGGGGAGGAACAAAAGAGCCCGGACTGCCCCAGGCTTGGGCTTGGGGGCTGGGCTGAAAGGACAGCTGCTTCCCAGGTTGGGGCTGGGTGGCGGATAGTTAGGGGTTAGAGTTGCCTCCAGCTCACAGTCCGTAGTCACAGGGAGCCTGGTGATGAGTAGGGAGCATGACGGGGACAGCAGACATGGGCAGAACCAGAAGAAAAGAAGGGTGAGTAAGTGCGGGGATGTCCCACTGCCGTGAAGTGGCAAGGGGGCGCCTCGGGCCACAGGAATGGCCACGGCAGGCAGTTGTGCAGGAGCTGAGAACCCTTTGCAACATGGGAGGTGCCTGTGTTCCCTGCCAGCCCAGAAACCAAAGAAATCTTTTTAAAAATTCAAGTTGCCGTGGAAACCTCCCATTCTGCGCCTGGCTTATTATTTAACATCTCAACAGATGCCAAGCCCCTGGGGGGCACCCAAGGACACCCCTGTTTGGTGTATGGGGAGCATCCTGCCTCTCAGGGTGCTTCCTGAGGATGCGGCCAAGTCCCTGGAGCAGGGCTGGTGAGCCTGAGGGGTGGCGACCCTTCGTATGGAGATTCTAGGGTCTGTCCGCCCATTAGTGTGAGCTCCCACCTGCAGGGAGTGGACACCCGTGTTTCTGCACCAGCTCCTCTTATCTTGGAAGAAGGTTAAAATGCCAAGTGTAAGTCAGAAGATGTCACTAAAAAGGAAAGAACCCGGCTGCTTCGCTTGCCTGTTCGGGTGACATGTTTCCCTTGGGGTTTGGAGACCACATGGGCCGCTGACACCTGTGACCATGAGGGACCTGCCTGCCCCTGAGTCACTGAGAGAGGGAAGGCTAAGTGTTTTGAGCAGAAGGTCAGTAGGGAGGAAGCCTCGATGGTGCAGGGGAGACGATTGGAAGTATACTCGAGGGATGGTTAGAAGAAATGTCCTTTCATCAATTTGGTGGCTCAAGGCCTTTGGTAACACTGCTACTGTTCTTCCTAAAAGAAACAAAACTTTGAAATAACAGGAACGTATTCATTAAAAAAAAAGCTGCAACTATCAATATCTTGGTAAAAAAGAAGAAAAGAAAAAATAATTAAAGAGAAAGAAAGGAAAAAAAAGCAGGGGTAGGTAGTGAAAAGAACAGTCTCCCCACTGCAGTTCTTGATGGCTCCTGCACCCCCCTGACATTCCGCACGCAGTGGCTGGAGTACGACCATCCGCGCGTGTGCCTGGCTTAAGAGGCTCATACACTCACATCAGTCAATCACCTGCAACTTGCTTTTTTCCCATTTTGCAGTGTGACTTGGGAGTTTTCACTGTATCAGTGCAGTACTATTCGCTGCAACTGGTTCCTTTCTTAGTGGCTACTTTGTATACTGTGTAGCCATTTGCCATGATTTACCAGTTACTCTCTGTTATTAGACACTTGCTTTGTTTCTGGTCTTTTGCTAAGACAGGATAGTTAGTGAACCTCTGTGTACCTGCATCTTGGCATTTGGGGACCAGTATATCTGTGGGATACATTCCTAGTTGTCAAATTGCTTAGTCAGAGGGCGTGCAGATTTAGAAATTGACAGGTGTCACCTGGGTGGCCTCTCGGTGGTGATAGCTGCCGCTGTGTGCTCATTGTTGACGCTGGCCTCTGTTTCCCCACGTCCTGAGCCCCGCCAAAAAGCACCAAACTGGCCAGCCTTTGCCAACCCCATACGAGATAAATATCACCTGGATTTCATCTGTGTCTCCCTGAAGGTGTTTTGTAATTTTTTCTGTGCAGTCACTGTGTATCCCTTTGTCATTTTTCTGTTATGCTGTTCCTAGTTTTCTGGTTTTTGTACATCAAATAAATGAAGCCTTAAGTATAGGTTAGTACTATTTTTTTTGTCTCGTTTTAGAGAGAAACTTTTTATTTTCATGCAGACATTTCTCCTTTAAGGTAGTGTTTTATGCCAAGCTTTCCTTTAGTATTACATTTTTAAAGTGCATTGATTTTCTTCATAAGACTTTTAGATTGTCCTTAATTAAAATCTTTGTTATATGTGGCCCTTTTGTGAGTAAGGCGTCAAGGGGAAAGGCAGCCGTGCTTCCAGCCAGCTGTTGTGCATCCAGCCAGCTGTTGTGCATCCAGCCAGCTGTTGTGCACCGCCCCTTGGGTGTGTTCACTTCCTCTGGCCTTTCGGGGGCAGAGGGGGTGCACTGATTCCCGCATGGGGAGTGTGCTTCTGAGTGGTCTGCTGGCTGGTTTGTGCTTTGCTCCTGAGCCAGCATTGCCCTGAGGTTTAGAATACGTTTTGCTGCCCCAGAGGGCTGGCTTTGATCAGAGCTCTTCCAGAACATCTCCCCATCCTCACACGCTTATCCCACAGACGAACTGTTGCTCAAGCTTAAGCCCCTGGAGGTCGGGGGTGGGCCACCACCCCACCCCACCCCACCTGCTCCTGTGTGTGGCTCTCCCAGGGCCCAGGAAACACTCCTTGCTTTTGTTAGAGCTGCCTGCTTGGAACAGTGACTCAGAGTTCGAGCTGGAAATCGCTGGTTTTCTGACTCACAGGCGGGTCCAGGATCAAAGGGCCGAGGCATCGATGTGATGGGCTCCCTTCTCTGAAAGCCCCGTCTCTGAAGCCGGAAGCAGAGCCCTTGGCTGACTGGAAAAACCAGGGGATCCCAGAAGGCTGGTGCCGCCGGCCAAGCCAGCTGCACTTCCTCCGTCTCCACCCGGCCCTGGGCTTGTGTTTGCTGTGTTTGTGTCGCGTGGGCCCGTGGATTTTACTTTCTCATCCATTCTTCCTATCCCACTGGCCCTCCACTGAGCACACGGTCACACGCTTTACTCCTTCAGATGCCTGACTCGGGAAACGTCCTGTCAAACTTTGTCCCAAAGATCCAGGAAAAGCAGCTTAGAAATAGCCAAGAGGGCCCTAGGCCGGGTGCAGCCCAGCACAGCCCCTCGGCTTCCTGTCTCGGACATGCACGCGGTCGTGTGTGTTGCGGGCACAGGTTGGGATTGGAGGTGTTGGGGCTCTCTGCTGGAGCCAGGACGACGCCCGAGATGGTGCCCTTGTGTGGGTTGAGCACTGGGGCACGTGAAAGAGAAGCACCCTCACGTCTCCTGTCCTTTCCAGGTGGCTCCAGGATCCAGCATCCAACATGTGGCAACTCCTGGCCTCCCTCTGCTGCCTGCTGGCGCTGACCAGCGCCCGGAGCAGGCCCTATTTCCACCCCCTGTCAGACGAGCTGGTCAACTATGTCAACAAGCAGAACACCACGTGGCAGGTGGGTTGTGGGGCCGGTCTGTGCATGCCAACTCCAGGGCCAGGGTGGTGGCTCCAGTTGTGGCCCACGGGACATTCTGTCCTGGACAGTTGAAGAATGAACTGACCCAGGGTCGTGGCAGCTCAGAACCACGCTCCCTCCTCCCTGTCCCACACGCACACCAGGCAAACCCTGTGCAGCCCTGCTGTGCTAGGAGCGATGGCTCGTCGGTCCTGGCCCCCTTCTGATTTCTGCCCAGCCCTGACTGGGGGAACCAAGAAATGAGGCATGAGCCATGTTCAGGGCTGGGAAGGGTGTCTTGTCAGCAGGTCAGAAGAGACACCCACAGGTGTGAGAGCTGTGCTGTGCCCACATGTCACTCCAGGCTGTCCCCTAACTCCCATGCCGACCTGTCTGGGGATGCCCCAACCCTCATGTCTCCCGTGAGCTGGGCGGGACCCCTGGCCTTCCTGAGTCAGGGCTGTGTGTGGGAGCGTGCCCATCCACCCCTCACCTGGAGACCCCTCTGTTGGTGGGTGACCGTCTGGGGCGCGGCTCTCTTCCAGGCCGGACACAACTTCCGCAACGTGGACATGAGCTACCTGAAGAAGCTGTGTGGCACCTTCCTGGGTGGGCCCAAGCTGCCCCAGAGGTGAGTGCCTGCTCCCCCATACCACGGTCACGTGAACGGTGGGTGTTTAGTGCGGTGGAAAGGAGGGAAGAAAGGCCTCCCTGGCCTCAAAGTCTCACTTCCCCTAAAGCTGTAGAGCTTCAAGAAAAGCCATATGATCTGCCATTGGTGTTTTATTTTTCTAGAAAACTCTGCAGTGGACATTTTCATGCAGATATTATTCTTTTAACAAGCATTAGAAATGTCTGTGAGGACGGGATGGTTAAGCTATAGGTACCCACCATCTGCACAGTGGTGACGTTATTACAGGTGACAGGAGGAGCCCGGGCAGATGTTTATGATTGGCGGGTAGGGTGGGGGAAGCCAGAAACACTATCTGCACCCTGTGGATAAAACTCTTGAAAAATATCCATTAAACAAGCCAAGAAAGAAGCATGCAAAATGGTAAGTTGCATTGAGCAACAGAATTAGGTTTTGCTTTGTAAAATGCCAAGGAAAACCTCCCTGCAAGCTGCCTCCTTGTGCTCGCTCCTTTGGAGGGATGTGTAACCCTGTCCAGAGTCAGCTGCTCTTACCCAAGAGGCCTTTGAAGGGGTGGGAGAGTGAGTTGTAGGATGAACGCTTGTAACGAAGACCTTCCTTTCTCCAGAATGAAGTTTGCTGAGGATATGAAGCTGCCTGAGAGCTTCGATTCACGGGAGCAGTGGCCCAACTGTCCGACCATCAAAGAAATCCGAGACCAGGGCTCCTGTGGCTCTTGCTGGGTAAGGCCCTGCTGGCCGGGGGGCACAGGCGGGGAGCAGTCAGGGGGCTTGGGGTGGGACCCACGGTGACAAGGCAAGTTACATAAACTGTCCGAGTCCCAGTTTCCATTAATATAGAAACGATGTTGCTCCCTGTGGCCAAGCGTTATTGCAGGGATTAGGCAGAGTGACAGCGGTGCCATGTCCTGCAGATCGGAAGCCCCCGTACATGGGTGGTGGAGCCGTTTCCCTTCTCTGACCCACTGTACGGTTCTGTGACATTAAGTACGTTCCTGTTGTGCAGCCATCACCCCCATCCATCCACAGAACTCAGCTCCTCAAACTGAAACTCTGCCCCCATTAACACTGACTCCCCAGTCCCCAGCCCCTGGCACCCCCTTTCTACTCTTGTCTCTATGAATTTGATTCTTCCAGGGACTGCGTGTAAGTGGAGTCTTACGGTGTTTGTCTTCTGAACAAGCTGTGTATTTGTGTTTAAAAAAAACCCCAAGTGACATATTTCAGGACTGAACTGAGTTCCCACATAGGGTGGTTCAGGGCAGATTGGCCCCTTGCTGTAAATCTGAGCTGGAGCCCCAGGAGCCTGCCCTGATGTGGGAGAGACTAGTCCGGAGTATGCACTGTGGTCCTCCCGGGAGGAGGGCGGGCCACAGTTCCGGAGAGGCGGCCTCCTCACCTGTGGGGGGCTCGTTCCTGCAGGCCTTCGGGGCTGTGGAGTCCATTTCTGACCGGATCTGCATCCACACCAACGGGCACGTCAGCGTGGAGGTGTCTGCGGAGGACCTGCTCACCTGCTGCGGCGGCCAGTGCGGGGATGGGTGAGTTTGGGGTTGTGCCTCCCGCTGCGGGTTTGGCACCAGAGACCCTCAACCCGGGCCGCTCAGGTGGAGAATGACTCGGATGACTCCCGGGGGGAGGGGAGTGGTAGAGTCGGAAGGTGTTTCCTTTGCTGAGACAGCATTGGGGACTTGGGGAGTCTAGAAGCGGGGCTTGGCCTGGCTGCTGCCTTCTGGGAGGTACCTGCAACCGGCTGGCCCCACAGCTCTGTGCAGGCCTCTCAGGGTCCGGGGGAACAGGAGACCCTAGGTCTGGCTTTTGTCTCACTTGCTTCTTTTCCTGCTCAGGGAAATGTAAGCATAGTGGGGCCTATTTCCTTGTCTGTAACCTGAGGGTCCTCAGGTTGGTTGCACGGAACTAAATCCCTCCCTCTGGTGCCTGCCAGGGCTAAAGTCTGGCCTTGGTTCTACAGTAGCGGTGGTCAACCATGGCTGCAGATTATAGAAATACCTGGGAGCCTTAAAAAAATGTGCTTGGAGGCTGGGTGCTGTGACTTGAGCCTGTAATTCCAGCACTCTGGGAGGCCAAGGCAGGAGGATCGCTTGAGGCCAGGAGTTCAAGACCAGCCTGAGCAATATAGCAAGATGCCAGCTCTACAAAAAAACAGTACAAAAAATTAGCCGGGTGTGGTGGTGCGCACCTGTAGTCCCAGCTATTAGGAATGCTGAGGCAGGAGGATCACTTGAGCCAGGAGTTCGGGGCTGCAATGGGCTCTGATGACACCACTGCACTCCAGCCTGGGTGACAGAGTAAGACCGTATCTCAAAAAAACAAACAAACAAAAAAGTGCCTGGGGCTTAACCCCAAACCAGTTAAATCAGAGCCACTGGAATTGATAGTTTTTTGTAATATCTCAGAATTTTAACATGCTGCGCAGTTGAGAATCTCTGTTCTAGAAAGAAAGGCACATGTGGCCTAGTGTGGCACAGACGTGAATATGAGAGTCTGTCGTCTCGAGGGCATGGATGATCTGCTGCAGAAGAGCATCTAGGGAAGATGAATTGGGGGGTCTGGGGACCGGGGCGGACTGTTGCGCCAGTAGTTGAAGGCATTGGTGGATCCGGGAGCGGCCCTGGGCACTTGGGTACCAGGCGGAGGTCTGGGAAGCAGCTAGAGCCTCCCTCACAGTGAGCTTAACCTCTCTTAGCTGTAACGGCGGCTATCCCTCCGAAGCTTGGAACTTCTGGACAAGAAAGGGCCTGGTTTCCGGCGGCCTCTATGACTCCCATGTAGGTGAGTGCACCCTCGGCCCCTGTCCGGCTAGGTGGGTTGTATAAGCAGGGAGTCGTAATGGCTTCGTGCTCCGTTATAAAGTGAAAGTTGGGGGCAGAGGGCTGGGCTGAGTGTGGGCAGATGAGCCAGTCCTCTGTGGCAGGACCTGCAGGTGCCTAGAGGGGCCTTGGTGGGAGCCGTAGTGACAACCCCCCCGCCCTGCCTCGGCCCCCTTAGGCTGCAGGCCGTACTCCATCCCTCCCTGCGAGCACCACGTCAACGGCTCCCGGCCCACGTGCACGGGCGAGGGAGACACTCCCAAGTGCAGCAAGACTTGCGAGCCTGGCTACAGCCCGACCTACAAAGAAGACAAGCACTACGGTAAGGACGCCCGGGCTGCAGCACGCGCTGGGCCCCGGAACAGCCGGCCTGCTCCCTCACGCAAAGGCAGGAAGGGGCCAGGGAGCCCCAGGGTGGAGACAGGAAGGATGCACCCCTGTCTTGCCAGAGGGAGCAGCACACCCCCCATTCTCTGCCTGCTCTACCCTGAACTCGGCCTGAGAGCTAGGAAGGCCCCAGACCCCTCATTTTACAAGGAAGTGACAGGCCCTGGAGCCCTGGGTTACCCTGGCCTCTGCCAGGGCCTGGTGCTCACTGCTCCTCCCTTCCTCGCTCCCAGCCCCAGCCCTGTCCTTACGCCCTTGAGACACCTTCCTTGAGCTCCCCTGGCTGGGGAAGTCCCCTAGACACACAGTCCTCCCCAGAGGCCCACCCCAAATCAGGGCCTGGGGAGGTGGAGCTGCAGGAGGCCCTGTCAGCACCCCAACCCCGCCTTGGCTCATCTTCCAGGATACAGTTCCTACGGCGTCCCCAACAGCGAGAGGGAGATCATGGCCGAGATCTACAAAAACGGCCCGGTGGAGGGAGCCTTCTCTGTGTACTCGGACTTCCTGCTGTACAAGTCAGGTGAGTGCCCGCGTCTGGCTGCAGCGGGCCGGAAGCTGGGGGTCGGGGGTGGTCTGAGCTCAGGTGCCAGGGCGGTGCAGGTGGCCAGGAGGGCCTGACAGGGCAGGAAGTGAGGGGGCTGGGGAGGGCTGCGGGCTCCCCTCGTCCCCTGGCCCCTGCAGGCCTGCCAGCATCAGGCCCCCTGACTCCGCGTAACCGCAGCCCAGCCCTTCCCACCCGCCGGGCTCCCTGCGTCTCTGCAGGCAGCTTTCCCAGGCCCGCTCCAGGGGTTTCTCTTTGGCTAGTTTCTTCTGATGCCTCAGAGCCCAGCTCACACTTCTTCGTGGAGCCCGTCCCTCCCTGGCGGCGGGTCACGCCTGCCTTCGCCCGCATGGCCTTCCCATGCTTCATTGGCACCTCACCATATAGCAGCGGGTCTTTTGTGTCTGGACCGAGTGACACGTTTTATTCATCTCTGTCTTTGCAAAGGCCCAGCCTCGTGCCTAGTACCCTAGGGCTGGGTGATGCTGTGGGACCCATACCAAGGAAGTCCCAGGTTCCAGGGGAACTGTCTTTGCCGACTGCCTCTGTCCCACTTGCCTCCCGCTACGTTGAAAACCCCAAAGCTCTGAACCCTTATAAAACAAGGACTAGACAAAGGAAGATGATCTGGCAGGAAACAAATACCGTAAAGCTGGTGGTTCTCAGCACGGTCCCCACCCGTGTTAAAAGCTGCGTGTCCAGGTTGGCAGCCTCTGAGCAGCCAGCACAGCCCTTCCTTCTGCACCTCTGCAGGGTGCTCCCGGAGCAGCAGCACGGTTACGACTCCATAGCCACACAACCCTTTTAACAAACCCTTAGGCAGAATCCCAGTATGTAAAACAGATCATTGGTCATTTAGTATTGAATTTGTTTCATAAACTAGAATGTATTTATTAGAACTTTTATTTTTAAAGTCAACCAATAAGCACATTCTTTGGACTCAGTATTTACTCAACACATTTGAGTGTGTTGGGATTTCAAAAGTATATTTAATTCCCCAATGTCGTGGGAGCCCCCAGAGCTGTATCATGGGACACTAGGGTTGCAGCACTTCTCCATGGGGACCTGCTGGTCCCTCATGGAACCTGTCTTTCCTGACTAGGGGTGGCCTGTGGAGTTGGGGGTGCTGTGGGAGGGGGTCCTGGCCTGGCCTCAGTCTACCCGGATTTCCCTCCGGCAGGAGTATATCAGCACGTGACTGGAGACATGATGGGCGGCCATGCCATCCGCATCCTGGGCTGGGGGCAGGAGAACGGCGTCCCCTACTGGCTGGTCGCCAACTCCTGGAACACTGACTGGGGTGACAATGGTGAGTGCCAACCCTCTTCCTGCCAAGAAGAGGGACATGTGAGCCAGACTCAGTGGCCATCTCTGCCAAGGCTGGCCTGTGACCTCTCCACAAGGGCAGATCTGAGCCCCAGAAGGGGTGGTCCCTGCCGCAGCTCCCACTGCCCCGGGTGCCGTGTCTCAAAGGGTGACGTGGGGATGGATGGAGGTGCTGCCTTGGGCTGGGAGGTGCTCATGGCGTTGAGGGCTGACTACTGGGCAAACCCTAGCAGCCACCAGGGCTTGGTGACTTAGTCCTCGGTCTTTTAGGGATGGGTCTGAATATATTGACAAGGGTGAAACCCACGGCACACTTTAAAGCACCTTCTTTTCTTTCCCAGGCTTCTTTAAAATCCTCAGAGGACAGGACCACTGTGGAATCGAATCAGAAGTGGTGGCTGGAGTCCCACGCACCGAGCAGTACTGGGGAAAGATCTAACCTGCCGGGGCCAGTCCGGCCAGCCCTGGGGGAGTTGCTCCCTAAATTTAGCCACCTGGGCTGGGGATGAGATGGGGTAGAAATATCTTTTATTCTCTGAGTTCACATAAGATACAAGAGGTTTTAGATGGGGCCTGCAGGACTGGATTGGGCCAAACCACGCATCTGCCGTCGGAGCTGCCTTCCAAGGAGACGCACCCAAGTCCCAGCTGCCTCCCAGCCTGTTCGGTGGACTGATGGTCACAGCGCAGACGTCAGACCATGGAAGCCACTGCTGAGCACACAGTGCACCCTTCCCCCGAGACTAGTGCTGTAGTAGCGCCTGCGGCCCTCCCCGCGCATCTCCAGGAAGCAAGGCAGACACCTGGGAACGGAAGGCGGAGTTCCTAACGAGACGGCCAGTTGCCACCTGTGAGAAGTACCTCTGAGCACGCAGCTTTCTAGATTTGTGACAGGTTCAGAGAGGTGGTGTGGCAGCCCTTCCTGGGGCCCTGCATCTATGAAGCTGTGCAATGCAACAAACCCTCTCTGGTCTTGTCCTTGGCATGATTCTTTTTTAATAGAAATTTTATTTTTTGTGCACCTCAGCTGATCATGTGAACGAACAAGTCCAACAGTCGCAAGAGCTGTGCTGCTTTACAGATCTCCTCCTGACGGTGTGTCTTGAGGCACCACGGTGCCGATGACTCGCTTCTGACCTACCGACCTCCACTACCAGAACTAGTTTGGGAGAAACCAGCTTTTACTGTTCTTTCAAAATCACTGCTTCACCCTGTCAATTTAACAAGGAATGTCTGTGCCAATAAAAGGTTTCTCCTTCACCTGGAAGTCTGCTCTGATGGGTCCCAGAGATCATGTGTCACTGCCTGTGGACGTGCAGCTCCTCATCCCCAGAAAGAATCGTGTTGTCCCGGAACCGCGTGCCCTCCCAACTCTTGCAGCCTCGTTTTAACTTCTCACTGCCCAACCGTATTTTCCAGCCACGCATCTGCCTCTTCATAGTTCCCATCATCCTCATCAGCCCTTCTCTGTAAATCCATCCCGAGCCCCGACGAGCCTGCCCTGCTTAGAGAGCTAAGAGCAGCGCTGTGCCCCATCTCCTGTTCGCTGCAAACTAGCAGCAGCCTGAGGGTTCTGCTCACAGAACACAGGCGTGCCGTCCTGGGGATCTCACATGACCACGATGCCGCCCCACTGCGGGACTGCCTCTCTCCCCGGGAGCCCTCCAGTGTTGGTATGGGCTGGAGCCAGAACCCCTATATAGTATTTGGAGAGTCCCCTATGCCACTGGTTGCTGTTCCAGAATTATTTCTTGGCATAGATGGCCCTGTTTAAGAGTCACAGCGAAGTACACCAGTTCTTGAGGGAACAGAGGAAACTGGAAGTCAGCGCTCATTCCACTGGCCTGACCGGATAGCTCGGAATTCCCTTCCCCAGCCCAGCACGGGAGTCGGGCTGGCAGAGGCATGGGAAATTTAGCTTCCGGTGCACTCAGAAGTTAGGAGTCAAAAGCTACATCAAATAAACTCAAAACCCCTGGTGAGCGTTGTAGGAAAAGTGTGATGCTCATCATAGTACTTATAAAATGCTTAATGAGGGTTACCAAAGCCACAAATTCGTAATCTCTTTATTCTTACAGTTTCAGTTAGGACACATCCATAACCTCAACAAAGTTCTGAAATAGTGCTACCTGCTCCCAAACCCAGTTGAATAATTATTCCATTTCCATCTTGTCTCCTCCCCACTCCCCCAGTGTACCCACCTACAGCTCCGTCCCTACCCCTGGCTGGAGTAAGCCACGATGCACTAAATGAAGTGACAGGATGAACACGAGGCATCTTTGCACTTGGCTTAAGGAGACTGTTAGAGAAACCTGCCTTGCAGTGTTTATGGTCGGGCTGGGTCTCAATACTTTCAGTAAACCTCAGATAACCTGTTCATCACTGTTACCAGTTCCATTCAGTAGTTTGAATGCCTTTCCAGGCCAGGTGACAGATGGAGGTGATGATGCCTTTCTAGTCTTCACCTAGAGAAAGGCATTCTCTGCCTTTCTCTATAAAGACAGGCAGTTCAATTTTTGCCACTCCCAAACATGCCTCAGAGAGCCATACTCAGGAAGTGCTCGGCCAGGCAAGGTAGCTCACACCAGTAAGCCTAGCACTCTGGGAGGCTGAGGTGGGAGGATTGCTTGAGGTCAGGAGTTTGACACCAGCCTGGACAAGAGCGAGACCCCTATCTCTACCAAAAATAGGAAAAATTAGCTGGGTGGGGTGGCACACACCTGTAGTCCCAGCTACTTGGGAGGCTGAGGCAGGATGATTGCTTGAGCCCAAGAGTTTGAGGTTGCAGTGAGCTAGGCTGATGCCACTGCACTCTAGCCTGGGGAAAAGAGTGAGACCCCCCAAAAAGAAATGTAGGATGTCCAAATAAATTTGAATTTTGGGTAAGTACATTTTTAGTATAAATGTTTCCCATGCAATATTTGGGGTATAATTCTAAAAAATAGAATTGTTTATCTGAAATTCAAGTTTAACTGCATCCTGTAGTTATCTGGCGACTTCAGTAGAAAAGATACTTAGAAGGAAAACAATCTTTCAAAGAGCTTGAGAATGACATGAGCTGAGACCTTTGTACAAGTCAGTGATAATAGAAAAAATTACATAGCTTTATAGCTGGAAGAGACCTAACAGATCACCTAACTACACATCTCAGGAAGTCCCACAGGTAATGACTGAGTTGGGAGGGAAGCTCCCAGTATGTCCACCTTAGACCGAGGCTCTTCCCACGAGGTTGTCCTGTGTCTTACATGAACTTCAACAGAACTAAATCTTAGATTTCAACACATGAATTTGTAACAACCTACCTTGAAACCTCCGAGTTTGGGGTTTTTTTCCCCAACCAAATGCTGATGCTTAAGTTGCTGGGAAGATACTGTCTTGAGTCTGGCTTACGGCTGGCTGTACTCCATGTGGCAGGTTACACTGGCTTCAGCATGGTGACAAATTTGTCCAGTGCTGAGCCTCAAACGAGCCAATTAACTCAAGTCCTCCTGGGCCCAAGCTGAGCCAGTTGTCTCGGAGGTGTCAGTGTCACAGGAAGAAAATCAGGATGTTTGTAACAATGCAAACCCGACATTACTGCCGGGGAAAAAACTCGAATCCGATCACTGTCACTACACCCAGTGGCTGCAGCAGAAGAGCAGACTATATGCTGTGTGTATCTAGAGCTTTAATGGCTTCTAGAAAGCATTTTAATGCCCTCGGACATGGCTTATCAATCTGGGGCCGTGTCCTCCCTGGGCCACGCTGGACTCTCGGTGAGTGTCTCCGTGAGAGGATATCACACGCCCAGCTGTGCCGGGCAGAGGAAGGTAAAACCCCTGTGGCAGAATCAGGCTAAGTGCCATTCGGCTTTCAAGCCAATCACCTGAAAGCATCTCCCGCCTTTCTTGAGAATTCAGTGTATAAGCTGGTAATTTAAATAAAGAAAAAAAGCTGGGGGAAAAAATTTCTTAACGCAGCTGAGAGAATCCGCCCAAGTAGAGCGGGCTGGCAGGGCTCGTGTGGTTGCCAGGCTACCGCGGTGAGGCAACACCGCCTGCTCGCTCGCCAGCAGTCCTGTGGAGCGGCCAGCTGTGCCCCTTCCTGGCGCTGTCCTCGCTGGCTTCGTGGTGGCTGCAGATGGCCACTCATCCCTCAGTCACTCTGTTCTTGAGCTCCGTCCAACAGCCATGCGGGCTTTCAAGTGAACTGCACTTGACAAACGCAGACTAACTGAATTCTTTATCATAAAAATGTCCTCGGCCGAGCACTGTGGCTCTCGCCTGTAATCCCAGCATTTTGGGAGGCTGGGGTGGGAGGATCTCTTGAGGCCAGGAGTTCGAGACCATCTCGAGCAACATAACAAGACCTCGTCTCTACCGAAAATAAAAATAAAATGAGCTGGGCATCGTGGCCCACAACAGCAGTCCCAGCGACTTGGGAGGCAGAGGTGGGAAGATCGCTTGGGCCCACGAGTGCTGGGTCGCAGTGAGCTGTGATCTACTGCGCGCTGGCCTGAGCACCAGAATGAGAGCCGGTTTCTAAAAAAAAGAAAAAGGTCTCCTCAAAAATGTCTGCCTTTACTGGGGTCAATCTAAAATCTTGCTGCTTCTCTCTGAAAGCTAAACTCCCTTCGGATGAGAAAATGATATCATAACACCCAGATTTTACTCCCAGCCTTCATGTGCAGGAGACAGCCTGCACTCTCAGAAAACATGAAGCATTACCTAGAACTGGAAACCCATCCGCTCCACTCAGACCAATGAAGGAAAACAAAATGATGAGAAAAATAGGAACCAACAGAAAGAAAATTCACTTCATTTTCTACTATGATGAATGTTCAAATTAAATACATTTAATTATAACTCCAGCCAGGATTCACACTAAGACCTCGTGACAGTCCCATACGCAGCCATTTCACCTAATCTGCAGCATAGAACACACTGCCATTGGCACAAGAAGCAGAAGTGTCACCACCCCAAGTATCAGGCAGCTGAGAGCAGGCAGCCTTTCATCTTACATTCTTCTCAACTGCCTCTCAGTGTCCTAAAGGTTGCAGCCACACAGGGTTCTTTTAGGGATTAAAATGGGAGGAGAAAAACAAAAAGAAGCCAACATCCATCCCTGAAGAAAAAGTAAATCCATTTCCTGGTGAACCTCAGCTTCCAGACCAATTCCACATCAGTGTTCCCCAGTCTGGACATAGTCTTCTGTGACCTGGGACAGCGTGCTCAGGTACTGCCAACTCAGGGCAGCCAAGAGCATGACAAATGACAGGTAAATGGGGGAGTAGTGGCTTCGGGAGATGAGCTGACAGTTGGGAAGATTCTGCGTCCTGATGGTGGAGATGATCTGCCGTGTTTTACTGGAAGATGGGTCTGAGTCGGGGATTCTATGATAAATCTGTTAAAGAAAGAAGAAAAAGTGGTAAGTGCTACATATTGAGTACTAGGTGCTTTATAAATATTTTCTGTGGTTACTTCTTACAACAGCCCTCAACAGGTGGGTATTTTGTGCCTATTTTACCAATGAGGAAACTGAGGCTCAGAGAAATGAAAGTAACTAACCCAACGCCACCCAGATGAGCCACCCTGAAATGGCGGGGATGTGAGCCCATGAAGGTTTCTGGCTGCCTGCCTGAGCATTTATTTCTATCCCAAAATAGCAGGTTGATCTTCTCCCAGCTGACAGGTATCCAGGCTGATTTGCAGCTAAGGACAGAGCCGTGTCCACCTGCTCAGGAGGGCTTGGGGCTGCGGGACCACTGCTCATTTAAGCACTGGGGGTGCACGAGGAGGTCCTCTTTAAAGTCCCTTCCAGGTGCATTCCTGCTACAGCCAGTCAGCCCAGAAACCGGACGGAATAAATGTGTCTTCCTTTCTTACTGCGAATGACTTGGTCAGGGAGGAGAAGTAGGATCAGTGTTAATAGCTGGACACCTGCGAAAGGCCAGACCACTTGTGACTTCATACAAAAGCTTTTATTTAAAACTTCATTTGCAAAATGTCCTTAGTGCTGACATTAAAACCAGTATCAGATTCTATTGCTTGAGACTTAGAAATCTTCAGAGATTTTTCTGAATCAAATCAAGTAAGTTTAATATTAACATTTCCTCCAAAATACCTTGAGTTTCACTAGTGTAACTTTAAACTAAACAACTGATGCCCTAAATCAGAGGCTGGCAAAGTTGTTATTAAAGAGCCGAAAAATATTTTTAGCTTTACAGGTCACTCTCTGCTGCAGCTACTCAACTTGGCCATTATGTCACCAAAGCAGCCACAGACAACACATAAACAAATGGCTGTGGCTGTTCCAATAAAAATGTATTTACATACACAGGAAGCTGGCCAACTGTGCTTTGCCCACCTTTGCCCTCAATCAAACTGTGAGTCACAATTAAGATTTAATTCCAATAGTTAAGGAAAAGCCAAATAAAACCTGAGTTTTAATATAGTACTGGCCATAAAATTTTTAAAAAATGGTTTTCTAATCCTGAGCAACATACCCAGACCCCGTCTCTACCAAAAAAAAAAACAATTAGCTGGGCATGGTGGTGCATGCCTGTAGTCCCAGTTCCTCAGGAGGCTGAGGCAGGAGGATCGTGTGAGCCCAGGAGTGTGAGGCTGCAGTGAGCTATGACTGTGCCATTGCACTCTAGCCTGGGTGACAGAGCGAGACACTGTCTCAGAAAAAAAAATGGTTTTCAAAAACTGTTGATCAGAATGAAACTGCAAAACCAAAACATTATCTGAACTACATACTACATAAAATGTTTCTAATTTATATAAGATGAAGAAATAGTGGAGGTTAACAGCACAGGGTCTGAAATCAGACAAACCAGGGTCCAAATGATGGGTCTAGTGATGAGGCTGATGCCTCAAGTCTCCCAGAGATTACTGGAACCCACCTACCTGCCACGCCAGGCACAGTAAGCTCAAAAGAAGTGCTGGCTGTACGGAGACCTGGACAGTCTCAATGGTAGCAATTTTTTGGTCGATGGATGAATACTTTCATCTAGCTATTAAATGAATTTTAGGATTTTTCTAAAGATTTGGTCTTCTCTTAGACCTTCTGTAGGTGCCTATGATAGAAATGCTGATGTCCACGAGTTGTCAGATAGAAAGTAGGGAAGAAATACAAGGAGAACGTGCAATATGCAAGAAAAATTAGAATAGTTGCTTTGAAGAATTATGTTCAGATGAAAACACTGTTGCAAATCATATCCCTGTAAACATATGACAAGGGGACTGGAGGAACACACAGAACCATGGACAGCGGTCACCTGTGGGGAGGGAGCACAGGCTGCTGAGGAATGAGGCCCTTTATGTTTTCATAGACTCAGTAGTATCTAAATCCCAGTAAGAGCATACTTGAGGGCCACAGCCCATCCCGGCCTCCACTCCCTTGATGACAGTAGCCACCACCCCTGCCAGTTATGACAATCAAAAATGTCTCCAGACATTGCCCAATGTGCTCTGCGGGGAGGAGCAAATCACTTCCATTTGGGAACCACTGCTCCAGCGCCTACAGATTAGAGAGAGTTCTAGTCTCTAAGAAATAAAGTTTTTGAACCTAGTCAAACCCCTCCACATTTGGAGACTTAACTTGAGCAGGTATGTTTTGTTTTATAGGGTGGCTTTGGCATTTGAAATGAAATTTTCAGAAAAAAGCTTAGAAATAATTACAACTTGATGGCTTTCCTTTGCCTAAATTCCCAACTGTGGTTTCTCAATGGCAGCCTGTAGTGTGATGGAAAGTACTAGACTAGGGGTCACGACACGTGGATTGGAGTCTGAGACCCACGCGGTCATGTGCTGCATCGGCACACATAAGCCTCAACTCCATGTTCCTCACATGTGAACAAGAAGCTCAGCTGGCCTCTAACATCATCTTCCAGCTCAAACACCATGATTCTATCAAGAGCTCCACCCCACAGCCGTGCTTGTCTCCTCTCACCAGAGATTGTTCTGGTGCTGTGTACTACGTACTATGCACTACGCAGCTCTGAGCAATCAGCTCAGCTCAGCTCCTGTGCTCACACTTTTTTCCTAATAAAGGATACCAATTCCTGTCTGTTTAAGTCATAGCATAGTCAGTTGTTAGGGTCATCTAATATCCAAATATGATATGTTTAAATATCTAATATCAAAATATGATACATTTAAATAGTGACATTCTTTAAAGAATAAAAGCAGCTACAAATTATCCAGGTAGTTAAATGAAAACCCACCTCTTCCATATACTGGTATATTATAGCTTTCACAGCTGGCATATTGGTGGCATCCATCATTAGAGTCACTGCTTGCCCTTTCCGAATCTTCACCACCCCTTTGAACACCTGCTGGTTATTGTAACAGGCAGCCAGAGTAGCAATGGCCATTACCTACAGGTAACAAGGAGAGAGTCTTAAACAATTCTGTAGTTCAGCCACAAAAGTTCCATTTTATTTGAAAAGAAGAGACACAAGTAGATCCAACATTTTCCATGCTAAAGCAATGGGTGATTGGATCTGAAATATAAATTTCAAAATAACACTTGGAAAGAATTTTCTATTTTAGTCGTTCTTCTATTTTCCCTATAATGTATGTAATTCATTGTATATTAAAAAATAATGCTGGGAGGACACCAAAGGGGGGTGATTTCCTGTGTTCAAAGGTAAATTATTTCTAGGATAAATGGAAACCTAAGATAGGCATACAGATTTTAGTTTCACCCACCATTCAAAATTGTTCACTAGAACAAGATCGAACCAAGTTTCCAAATCAGTTAAACCCTGTAATTTTCTTTACTTATTTAATATCTGAAATAATTGGTAAAGGTGATTAAAAGTGTAAGCTCCTAGAATATCAAGGGGCTAGGTCCACAGGTTCTGTTACCCCGAGTCTAGGAAAAGGACCATAATAATTAGGTGCTTAGACTTTTGTAGGATAACAGCTTCACCTAAGTTTTACCACCCAGCGCTCCCCATAAATCTAGGCCAAAGCCCTCAACTTAATTGTGAAGATAAAGATCTAACTAGTGTAGAACAGTGTGGAAAGAAGAGTGAATCGAGGAGGAAGGCTCTGGAAATGAGCAGACTTAAGCTTAAGGCTGAGCAGTGTGTCCTGGTTGGGAGGGAAGAGGTGTGTCCTGAAACCCCCAGCACAGGAAGATAAACTGGAATCATCTCTTTAAGGACTCATATCCTCAAATACAGCACAGGAAAATCCTCCCTTACCATCACCCTGCTCCCCTAGCCCCTACTTCCCACATACACCAAGAGGAGCCCTGTGCCATACCTGCGGAATAGCACAGAAGTTAAACACGCTCTGGTTTCTGAGCCTTGAAAGGTAGGTGATGACATCTGGGATGTGGTGCAGGGCGTTGGTGATAAGTTCATTCAGACACTGGACAGCCAGGTCAATATTCTCTGGTTTAGCAAAATCCCCCAACTTCTTAACATACCTGCCCCAAACCTAGACAGATAAGAAGATTAAAGAACAAGTCAACATGTGCATGGGGGAGAATTTACATTTTAATCCTTTAATGTACATATTAAAGGATAGCTGTGGATAATAACTATGATATACAGTAACATCTCTCTTAGCTGCTGACTCATCCTTCACCAAGATTACATCCATTTTAAGCTCCATGCAACAGCTATTTTGACTACCAGTAAGGGTCCAATCGCAACCTAGGAGTGAAAGTATTTAGGGAAAGTGTCCCTTTGGGACAATTAGTGTAGCAGGTACTAAGCAATACTTTGATGACCTCAGACTAAAGAGGTCTCCTGTTAGTCAGAGGCATTAGTCTATACCTGAAAAAACAGCCAGCCATATACAAAATCAGCCACACCAGTACTGCAGGTTAAATATTAAACATTCTCAAAATGGCCAGGCCTCAAAATAATTAACGATTAATATTACATCCCCAATTCTGATAAGAATGCTGAGCAAGCACATCTGGGAAAATGAGCTGAGCCTCTAAGTCCATTACCTCCCTGGATCCTGGTAACACAAACATAAAATAACACCCTCGATTCCAACAGTGGGATTTGGTTTGATGATTTTTAACGATATTATTTAGAGGATTCTCTGAAGCTTGCAAATAACTTACTTTTATTCTCGGGTAATTTTTAAGCTTCCTAAAAAATCATGCTTATTGTAACTTTACACATTCCTCAAAATAAATGACCAGCCTAAAAGGACAAGGAGATTCTGTTGAAAGTCAAATTTGTTATCCATTCTTAATTTGTGCCTAAAGCCACCCAAATTGATGGTACTAGGTTATTCTGCAGAACCTGGAGAAAACAGTTAACAAACCTCCATGTACTCATCCAGCTTCAACAACTGACACATGGCCAGTCTTGTTCCAGCTACACCCCACTCCTGGATTACTTTAAAGTAAAGCCCTGATGTATCATTTCATCCACAAATACTTCCTTCTGAATTCCCCAAAGATAAGGAACCTTTCTTGTACACGTGTCTAAGATTATTTTTCCCCAAACACCCTGATACTGTTACCTCTTGAGGCCAAAACTCTCTTCCCTCTTGCTGGTCTTCCAGATAGTCCCGAATGATGTTTGTTTTCTGCAGAAACAGGCCCATCGAGTTGGCACGTTCTTCATCTTCACCAACTAAGGGGTCTTCGAACTCTGAGGCCGAGAAGAGACGGGAAAGGCCGATTCCCACCAGCCCGGCAACGTAGTGGCAGTACTGTGAAAGACAATTTTTAAAGCGCTTTAGTAATGAAGTCTACTAAAATAGACACACTACAGATCAGCAGCTACAAAAAAAGCAGGCTCCAAATAGAATGTATAAGATCTCATTTTGATTAAAAAACAAATATACATACATGTACATACAAGGATTTAAAAACACCCAAGAAGGATGTGCATAAACGTTTTAACAGTAATCTCTGGCTGATGGGAATGTGATGTCTTTATTTTTTACTTGTATTTTCCAAATGTCTACAAGACACATGTACTGCTTCTATAATAAAAGGTTATTTAAAAAAGAAACTAGTACAGTAAACCTTTTTTTTTTTTAGAAATGGGGTCTCGGCCCTTTTGTTACGACAGAGGGGTCTGTTTGCCTTTCTGTGGCAAATGTATCTTGCTCTTGCTCTGTAAATCTATCTTGTCCTTCCTCAATAAACTTCATTTCATGCTTTAAAAAAAAAAAAAAGAAAGAAGTGGGGTTGCCCAGGCTGGTCTTGAACTCCTGGTTTCAAGCGATCCTCCCACCTCGGCCTCCCAAAGTGCTGGGATTATAGGCATGAGCCACTGAGCCTGGCCTCCTACCTTGTATTTTTATGTTTAGTTTAGTTCCCACAGTTAAGTCCCTTTGTCTAGATGAGCTCTTCTGGTATAAACTCAGACCAAATAAAAGCCATTATAATATTATTTATTACATCGTCTCCTCTCAGAGCCCTTTCCAGCTACATCGGTCCGCTGAGGAAGACGCACCTTACCCATGTGGGGTCTCCTAGAGCTCATCCCCACATATGCTCATCTATAACTACTATGGCTTGAATGTGTCCCCCAAAAAGCATGTGTTGGAAAGGTAATCCCCAAGAGTTGGGACTTTTGAGACATGATTAGGCCATGAGGGCTCCACCCGCATGAGTGGATTAATGTCGATTATACAGGGGTGTGAGACTGCAAGTTTGATCTCTTGCTCTCTCACTCTTTCTTTGCCCTTCTGCCAAAGAATGACACAGCAAGAAGGCCCTCGCCTGATGTCAGCACATTGATATTGGACTTCCCAGCCTCCAAAACTGTAAGACATAAATTTCTTTTCTTTATAAATTACACAGTCTCTGGTATTCTGTTACAGCAACAAAAATGGACTAAGACAATAATGATCACACAAACTCGGGGGAGAGCACGAAGAAACTTGGAAGCATCTCAAAGTGTCTTATTTATGTAAGGATATGATGAGAAAGAAAGAAATAAGGTACAAGAGAAGTGCTCATCTCTCAGCATAATACACCCGCAATCCAAAATTAATACCTTTGGATTCTTACAAGCTGTTGTTTCTGAAGAAACAGATAAATAAGAAAATTTAACAGCTTAAGTGATACCTACATCTCAGAAACAAACGGGGCCAAGCTGGCACTGACTTCAACAGTAATCTGTGATAAGATGGGATTGGAAATGACTCAGATACTAAGGTACGTATATGTATCACACATAGTAATGGGAAAGAAGAAAATAAACATTTTTAAAATTTGGAAACTACTAATATTTCTGTATTATGTAAAATAATTTGGCCATTTACCTAAAATTTCATGGCCAGTCAGAGACAGTTTTATAAACTTAATGCCTGGTACCTTTAAGACAAGTTCTATCTACTTTGGCCTCGTTTAGTGGTAAGCTCTCTAGGACATGGGTAATTTCATTCATGGAATATTAAACACTTTAAGTCCCTATAAAGTGTTTATGATGAGACCTTCAACCTAAATAGATGAATTGTAAAACCAGAAAACCTGGCACCGGTGGAAAACTTTTCCTCGTCCTAAACTTTACGATGTACCGTCAGCTCTGCCCTACTCACCACACTAGAACAATGTTTCACAGAGACACTAACCTTGTCCCACTCCTCTTCAGAGGTCACATGTTTATCCAGAAACTCCGCCATCCCAATTCCCATCCTCCGGCAAATGTCAGCAATCACTATTTGATATTTCTTAGCCAGGTTTCTAAACTCGAGGGAGATCTGAAATGGAGAGACCATAAAAAACAAAACAGTGCATGGCACCAAAGACCAGAAGGCAAAGCAATGGTGGAACTCATTACTTATGACTCCCAAATGGTTCATCTGCAAGACTCATCTAGGTCATGCTAGCTTTCTACATACTGAATCCAATTTCATAAATATTAAGATAGAAGGGTCTAAAAATGCCAATGTTTCTAGACTCAAAAAAAGATTCAAAGTCTCATTATACATCCATCTTTCTAATATATAATAAATGAGATGCTTCAACATAAAGCTCAGCATAAAGGTAAGAATTTTAGGGAGAAAGGCTTGTTTCAGGCAGACTTCATTAAGGCAAAGACTCATCTGTGCAAACGTGAATTGAGCACTTCCTAGGTAACAAGTGTTGTCCTAGGCACCAGGGCTGGTACATCAGGGCAAAAGAGACTCACGTCCTTGAAGAACTTACATTCTAGTGAGATCAGCCAACCATTCTCCTCCATCAATTCCCCAATTTATATCCTGAAGTTGTAGTGTTCCCCTCACTGTAAGGCTATACATTTTAATTTCTTAAGCAACTCAAGTCAATCTGAGGCATGCTGCCCAATATTTTTTTCACAGCCCAAGTCCTAATGCAGAAAAGTAGTACTGAGGTTTTTAAAATTTATTGTTACTGTACAAATATCTTGTTTCAGTTCAAAGAAAGTGTTATAGGTCATCAAAATACAATATATAAAAACACCATGAAAATTCTTAAAATGTTAAAACATTAAAAGAGCCTATATACACACTACTGAAAACAGTGAACAGACTTTGTTAAAGATCAAAAGTGTGAGACATACTTGGTTTGTGCTTACGGAAAGGTTAGAAAAACTTCCTCAGGAAACATCTAAAATTGAGGGCCTGAGGGGAAACCAGCTGGTTGCAGAGCACCATAGGAATTCAAGAGCCTAAGAGAATTTATGACTTCTCTGATGCACATCAACTCTTAAATCCAAAAAACCCATAAAATCAAGTTGGTCTTTCCAGAACTCAGTTCTTTCCAAAGGGCTGTTCTTTCCAGAACTGCTGTTCAAGCCAAAGCCAACAGGTAATTCCTATTGTGGATTGAAACAAACTAGCAACTCTACCAGGGGTTATTCCAATCCCTGAATCTCCCTAGAACTGTTCCTTCAACAGATCCTTGGCCAGACCAGTTCTATTTATAAAAGAGGAGAGGCGAATGAGGGTGGGGAGGAGGAGGAGCTTAGACTGAAAAACAAACCCTCCAAAATAAACACTTCCACTTCTGAATCTGACCTGTCCCTTTCAACAGCTTTTTCGTACTTACTACATTATTATGTAATTCAAAAAGTGAAAACAAAAATATCCAGAAAAAGGTGACAATGAAGAGCCTTATGTTTTCCCAGAAACCCTAGGAGAAGAAGAGCTTTTTGCCAACTCCACACCCCAAGCCCTGTTTCGTATGTTCTCTGGGCAGAACAACAAGCTCTGCTGTGTGAAGTGAGCCAGAGCTCACCTCTCCCCTCCACGTAACTCTGTTCCACAACTACAGTGGATTTCTAGGTTCTCAGATCACTTTCTGGTGATTCCAAGTACACGAAGGAATGCTCCCATGGTGAGTCCACCCGGGATGATGGAGAAAGGTCAGACCCCAATGGGCAAGGGTGGTGGGGCACTTCCATCACTCTGTAAATACAAATCCCCCTAATTATTACCATATAAACCTCAGGAATATTATGATCAAAACACTGGGTGAGTCTACATTCACCTATATTTAATTTAAAGTGTTTTCTATTTGTTTGCTTTGTTATTTTTAAACATTTTTAAAGAGACAGGAAAGTTTGCCAGTGATTAAGCACCAGGATTCTGGGGCCAGACCTTCTGGATCTGAATCCTGATTCTGCCACTAAACTTTACAGGTGATCTTAGGCAAGGTACTTAATTTCTCCGTGCCTCAGTTTCCTCATCTATATAAAATGTGGATAGTAATAGTACATCACGTACTAGGTAGTTTGCCTGTTAAACTACATTATAGATCAAATAACAGTAAATTACCAATGAAATATATTTAGTAACTGAGTCATAGTAAATTGCTCAATAACTGTATTCTATTAATGCTATTATCATTTAAAAATAACCCTGTGTTATTCCTTAAACTATGTTTAGAGGTAGAGCTCTAAGACTTCTAGCTTTCCACCAGCACCAGGTGAGAAAGATGTACAGTCAAGTGCCACATAATGACATTTCAGTCAAGAACAGACTGTGCACACGATGGTGGTCCCAATGGTGGTCCCCTAAGATTCTAATACTGTATTCTTAATGTATCTTTTCTATGCTTAGATACACAAATACTTTCACTGGGTTATAGTTACCTACAGTATTCAGTACAGTAAACTGCTATACAGGTTTGCAGGACAGGAGCAACAGGCTGTACCATATGGCCTAGCTCTGCAGTAGGCTATACCATATGGATTTGTGGAAGGAAACTCTATTGTTCACACGAGGAAATCACCCAACAACACATTTCTCAGAACATATCCCAATCGTTAAGCAACACATGACTGTACTCTAAGCAAAACTATAACCTACAATGAGAGTTCTAGAAAGCCTGACATGAAATGCTACCAACTAATGATCACTAAAGTACAAAGCACCAGGTTCGGTCTCAATGCACACACTGACTGTACACTGAGGTAGAGTTCACTCGGCTAGAACACTCTCCCTGGGCTTATTCCTAAGTTCTGTGGGGCCTGGGACAAGACAACAAATGGAGGCCACATACCGTATGTGGCTAAAAATTTAAAACTTATCAACTGAGATAATAACTTGTTAAATAAAACACATTCTATCCTCCTGCCTTGACTAACATATCTTTATAATAACCTAGATGATTCAGGTTTGAATTTAAAATTCTTGGTCCCTCAGAGTTTTGTTCAAAAATAAGCAGGGCAGAGACTGTGGACCCCAGCTCCCAGTCCACACCCCTTCCCTCCTGCTGCTCCCGACTCTGTCCAGCGCTGGGAGGGATCTCCCGCTCATGCATAAGGATGCCCGGCCCACTGGACCAGGTTTCTTCCACAACCCTCCCAAACACAGCCCTTGGCCACCCTCAGGCCTGAGGGCACCATCACTGGTGGTATGTTCCATCCTGGAGGAGATGTACCTAAGGAAATAGACTGTGCAGATCCTGGCCATGAGCTCAGGGGATTAGGGGGAAGGAATTCCAGATGTCCAGAACGTAATCTAGAGGGGGTGGTGCAGGAGGTCTGGGCAAGCACATTCCCATGGCTGAGGTGCAGAGAGGCTATGGAACTGCCCACCAGGTACTAAGTGGGCAATCTGGCTTCAGTCTTGACTACCAGAGTTCTCAACCATGGGTCTGCTTATTTTACCTCTCTCTACAAGTCTGAGGGCTAGCTGACAACTCCATTGCCAATTACAAACACAAGAGTATGCAGAAGAGATTTGTAATTGCACTAACCGTTGGGAAATCCTCCAGCACCTGTCGATCCTTCTCCTTGCTCTCCATGAACCGCCAGTCTGGTTCGTAAAGGAAAGAGTGAAAGTTGTGTAACAGTGGGACCTTCTTCTCCACACTGATGGTCATGTCATCTTCCAGAGTGTCCAGAGCTCGGAGAACCAGATAAAATATGCATACGGCATTCCTTTACAAAAGGAAAAATATATTAATTTGTGTCAGGCCTAAGCCTGCCTATACCCTTAACTCTATAGACTATAAGAGTGTCTAAAGTTCTTTATACTTGCTAGTAAGTTACATTTAACTAATGTAGAACAACTACACAGACCAAAAGACCAAATGTTTAGACCGAATTAATATTTTAGTATATGTGCTGCCGAAATGAGCACACAAATCAATATTTTGCAAGTAGAGAAGAAAGTCAAAAGGCACAACAACTTCTCAGTATAAATACTATCACACATAAAGGCAATTGGACAAAGAGATGTAAATGAAATTGGAAACCAAGAAGGGGGAAGGGTAGGGTGGGGGTGAGGGATAAAAACTTACCTATTGGCACAATGAACACTATTCTGGTGATGGGCACACTAAAAGCCCTGACTTAGGCACTATAAATGTATCCATGTAACAAAAACGTTTGTATTCCCTTAGTATTTTGGGGAAAAAAAAGCAAGTGTGTGTAATTCATGTGCACAGAGGCAGCCTCAAAAGAAGTAACCCAATATGTTAGAAAAGCAAAGTAGTGTAAGGGAAGCCAAGGAAAATGCATAACCTGCTCAGAGACAGGTTCAGGTGCCAGGACTAAAAAAAGTTAATAAACATCACCATCCCCCCATACTTCTCTGAAAGAGCCGGGCCCACAGGGACATTATTAGATGGCAAAGTGCCTGGAAAGGCATTCTAAAGTAAACACATGGACTTTGCAACCCCGAATATCGCTTTCACTCAACGCTAAGTGCAGTGTCAAAAAAGTAGCTTGCAGCGACTCACAGGCCCCTGGAAAAGCTTCCCTCCCCCAAGCCAGAGGCGCTGCCTCACCACTCACCGCATTTCCCCATCCAGCGCCTCGATAACGGCTGCGAAACTGCGGCTGGTCTGATTCAGATACTTGTAGCAAGTTTTCAAGCTGCTGCTGAGCGAGTCCTGCGGGCAGAGAAGACACACGGCGGTGGGAGACGTCGAGGAGCAGGAGTGCGAGTGGGAGTGGGACAGGCGGTTCCACAGCCTGGGGCAGCCGCCCTCCCCGCGAGGCCAGTCCTTGCAGGGCCAGGCAGAGGGGGGCAGGGGGCAGCCCCGCGGCGGGGTGCCTGCGCCCGGGCCCCTGGGCGCCGCGGCGGGGCTCAGCACCCAGGTGCGCTTGAAGAAGGACATGGCCTTGGTGCCGCAGGCGGCTGCGGCCATAGGAATCGCAGACCCAGCGGACTGTTTCCTCCATAGACCCGAGCAGAGCGAGGAGGTGCCCACAAAGGGGCGGGACGGGCTCCCCCCTGCTCCAACACACGCTGGGCGGGCAGAGCGTCCCGCAGGCCACACACGTGGAGGCCACCGCCCCGCGCAGCCGGCCCCGCCCCCAGGCCCTGCCCCGGACAGCCCCGCCCCCGCCGCGGCTCCGAACCCCTTCCCCACCTTTCTCTGGTCTGGCTGGCCCTTGTCACCTGCACCCACACACAGGCTGCTGTTACCGAAGCCCAGGCCGCTTTGAGAAGCCTGCTCTTGCTCCCCGTGACAGTCTCTCCTAGACCCAACTGCAGTCGGGCTCCAGGAAATCCTCTTCCCAACTAGGCCGGGACTTGGGTACTTTAATGCATCTGTCTTTGCATCGCCCAATTTTAACAAGAGTCTTGTTAAGTTGGTTTAGCCAGAATCCCCCAACCTCAGTATCTGATCACCAGATCCCATCCCTCCTCCCCATCACCCCCCCAGGTGATGTCGTCACCCTGGCCTACCTTCAGCAGGAATCCCCCCTTCCCCAAGTTTCCTCCTAATAATTTCCCATCCACACAACCCGCCCCATCCCTTCTACAAATTCCTACTTTTCCTTGTATTTGGAATTGAGCCTAGTTCTATACAGAGGTCTCTTTCCCCCATTGCAATCGTTTTTCTGAATAAAATCTGTTTTTACTGCTTTGACTACTACTGTCCAGCTCTGGTTTTTCTTTTAACATCTGTTAAGCCTCTACTGTCCTCTGGAAAGCCAGCCATTCCTTTCTAGAGTTCTTCTTGTCTTTCCCTTTGAAATTACTGAAATGTGATGAGCTGATTCCCGAACTTTACTCGTCCCTAAGGAAAACAAGTGAGTACTGTGTTTTTCCAGGGGGAGAAAAAGCCTTATTTTCAATGCAAGCATATCAGAAAGAATTACTGTTTGTGTGTATTTTATATAGACTTTTTAAAGAACACTTTTAGGTTCACAGGGAAATTGAGCACCAAGTACAGAGAGTTCTCATGTACCTCCTTCTCCCCGCACACACACACAGTCTCTCCACATTCTTTTTAAGAGAGAAATGGGAAACATTTGAAATATCTAACAGATGAGTGGTTAAACAAATGTGACAATCCACTGGTAGGAAATTCCATAAAGCCACTTCAAAATGTTAACAGTCAACCCTGGACCCTGGTGGGGGGCTCAAGTGAACTATGTTCTTTCTATTTGTATATATTTCCTTTATTTCTTACCATAGATGCACATTATTTTCTCAAAAGAATAAAGCTTTTTTTAAAAATCACGTAATCCTGAGAATTTCATTTTATTGCCATTTCCAATTGAAAATTATTAGTAAAAGCTAATATTAATATTTACTGAGCACCATACATTAGCAAAACACAGTGTCTGGCACATAAAAATATTCAGTAAAAAAGCTGGGTACAGTAGCACACACCTGTAATCCTAGCACTTTGGGAGGCCAAGATGGGAGGATCACTTGAAGCCAGGAGTTCAAGACTAGCCTGGGCAACAAGCAAGTCCCCATCTCTACAAAAAATAGAAAAATTAGCTGGACATGGGAGCTACTTGGGAGGCTGAGGTGGGAGGATGGCTTGAGCCCAGGAGTTGGATGTTGCGGTGAGCTATGATGACGCCACTGCACTCAAGCCCTGGAACAGAGCAAGACCCTGTAGGAAGGAAGGAAGGAAGGAAGGGAGGGAGGGAAAGAGGGAGGGAGGGAAGAGTGAGGGAAGGAAGGGAAAGAAAGGGAGAAGAGAGAAGAGAAGAGAAAAAGAAAGTAACAACTCTGGACTGAGCTGCAGACCAGCTCTCCACATAACCTGCCTGCTATCAGGCCACAATGCTTCCTTACACTGCACTGCCAAGTGTTTTCATCTTCAGCTCCAACTAATGCTTTTGGGGCTGATGTCTACCCAGAAGTTTCAATAAATGCAAAGGTTCAGTTCCAGTGGCTTTGAAAAGCAATCATCTTCAAGAACACTACCCCTCCTTCCCAACAGAGCCCTCCACTCAGACAGGGAGTGCGCTAAGTAATTTCCCTCCCAAATTACCAAGAAGAGTGCAGGAAGATGCAACTATTAAGCTATGGAAAACACTACTCATTGTAAAAATTTCCACTGCTTGATTCCCAGGAGCTGAGGGGGAGCTCAGGCTGCTGCTGCCTGTCCCCTGAGGCTCCTAATGTTTTCTGTTGCTGTCTGAAATCAGGCGCACTCCCAAGAACTCTCCACCAGGAGAAAACAGGGATGAAAGGCATTTAGAGGAAGGGTGTATGGTGGCCAGAAGGACAAGACCAAACTCCCAGTTCTGGGGCTCCAGCCTCATGTGAACAGCAGTTCCACACGGGAACAGCTACCAGCCCTCCCTATATCCTCCCCAGGAGGGGAAAAAAACAAAAAACCACAAACTTGAGAACTGAACTTACATAATAACAAGATTAAAACCCCCTTCATTAGGCTCCTACTCCATGCCAAGCACAACACACTCATTACCTTTAATCCTTACTAAACCCTTTCAGAAAGGTCTTACAGGCCCACGATCCACCTGAAATCTTCGTGACAGGATCCCTAGCAGAATTTAGAATTTTTAGTGTTTCAGAAAACAGGCAATAAAATGCATATACAGCCCCAGTCAGTTCAGTTTTGTTAAGCACATTCACACTGTTGCACAATCTCCAGAATTACATCACTAAGTTTTGGGGTGGCTCATTACTCAATAAAATCTAACTGATGATGCATGGAGATAGCCTCAGAGCTTAGCCCGGTGCCTGGCAGGCAATAAGGACTCAATAAATACTATTATTATTATTATTATTAATTTGGTTATTCTAACTCCCAATATAATCTACCCCCAATATAATGTCTTCCTGCTCCCCTGCCAAGTTAATGTTCCAAAAATATTGCTTTCATCACATCATAGCTCTGCTTTTGACTATCACCTACTTGACTGAATATAGCCCAGCTTTCAAAAGCAAACACATACTGATTGAGCTTTCTGCTTCTAACCTACCGTCTTCACTTCCAGGGTAGCTCCCTTATTCCACACACAACTCCTGCTCAGTCCTATCTACACAGTTTGGCTTTTTGCACGGAGTATCCTCCCCACTAATCTAAACCGAACGCCTCTTCAAGGTTGTATGCCCTACAAAGTACTTTTCTCATGTTTTCTGAAAACCTTTCCCTCTAAAACCCTTCCACTTCACTAAAATTTCCTGCAATCAAAATTTAGTTAAGATTACTTGACAGTTCCTAGATTATCTTACTTTTGTACACTGTTCTGTTAGATTGTGAACATGCTTAGGATAGGCATTTTTCACTTTGTGTACCTCACACTAAAGTGTTCAACTTCTAGCTGGATCTAGACAATCTCCTGCTTAATATATCTCTGTGGTCCATCATCTTAATTAAAAGCAGCACAGTGGGGCTCTGGAGTTAGACTGCAAGGGTCAAAACCTGGCTCTGTCACTTAAAGGCTGCTGAGCCTTAAGCAATTACTTAATCTCTCTGCCTGTTTCCTCATCTTATAGGAAAAATAATAGTACTTCCTCATAGGGTTACTGGAGGTTTAAATAATAATGGATGTAAGGTGTTTAAAACAGTGCCTGGCACATAGTAAGAGCTAAATAAATGTTAGCCATTATTATTATTATGATACCCTTTATATAAAAAGTAAAAATCTAGGTTTTAAAAGTCTTTCAGCAGGGCACCATGATGGAAGAACAGGTCCTGAACAGGTGCAATTAGGGATCTGAACTGTCCTCAATCCTAAATCCACAGTGTGACTTAGTTCACAGTGAGACTGCCTGAAAAAGTCAATGAACACTGATTGGGGGAGGGGGGTGAGGAAAAGGGCTTTAGTTGTATCTGGACATTTTATCTCCTAAGAAAAAAACAATGATGTAAATATGAAAAATTATATTTAATCTTGGAGATGGACACAAAGTGGTTTAATATATTATTTGTACCATTAGTTGTTTGAAATATTTTGTAATTAAAAATTCATTTTTTAAGGTAAAGCAACCTTGAACTATGTTAATTTGAAATAACAGCATCCATAAGAAAGGAATTTCAAGTTCTAAAATGGCCAGATAGCACCTAAAGTACTGCACAGTCTTGGATACTACACTTTAAAGAGATCTGGTCTCTGGTAAATGATCTGGAAAGAGTAACATATGATGATTAACTAAAGGAAGAATACAGAACATTTGGCTTGTGTGTCAATATTCTTAGAGAGAATATGAGAGTTCTCTTAAAATACTTCAAGTGTTGTATTACAAAACAAGGACTGGACTCTGTGGCTCTAGAGGGAGAACAAAGAGTGAAAGTTCAGCCCACTGTAAGGTAACACTTCCTAAAATGCAGAACTATCTGGAAAAGGCCTGGACAGTCTCCAAAGGTAATGAATTACCTATCACTGGAGTTGTTTAGGAAACTGTACAACTTGGATTATAAAAAAGTGATTCTTTGTTTTAGGTCAGAGATCGCTGGAAGAATCTCATATTAGAGACCATTTTCCCCCATCCCCAAAACGCACAAATGCATAACAACAAGTATTTTCAAATAACTTCAAAAAAGTCAGTCCCAAGTAAGAAATCTTAGTAAGAATCTCAGCAAGGCAGGGGAGCAATTTAAAGCTGTATTCCTTTAAGTGTCCCTCAAAAGACTAAACTCCACCCCAGAAGTGATTTTGCCCCTTTCTGTGATTTCCTATGGCATTTACTATATTCTGCCCCATTTACTTAAGTTTACCTTGTTTAAAAACCCAGACGCTTCCTGAGAGCAGAGCACTCACCCTTTGTGCATTAATTCATGTCCACATGTACTGACAAGCTATTATGTTTGAGGCACTAAAGACATGTCACATCAAATAAGATTCCTATTTTTAAATAGCTTAAAATCCAAAATCAAATACAGAATCTTAAATCTGAAAGAGACTTTGGGACCATAAAATCAATACACAAATAACCACAACACAAGACTATGGGGTGCTATAAGGTGAAACAGTACAAGAGAAAATGGTTGAGGTTCACAGGCAATAAGAAAAGACATCTCAGTATGATGCCTTCCTAAGTACTGTATGGAAAATTTTATCACATTTTATTGCCCTGACAAGATGGTGAGCTCTTGGAGTGCCTTATTTGTCTATACATCCCATCCTGCCATGCTGCACCCAATACACTTCCTAGCATGGAAACAGGTGTTCAATAAACATCTGCTGAATGGTCTATAGAGGTGGCACTCACTGCAGCTAGAGCTTGAAGGATGAGAAGGATTTTGAGTTATGAGATAATGGGGTAAAATTTTTTTCTGATGGAAAATTAAAGTGTTTTAATAAAGAAAACCAATTAAGAGTATATTTAAATAAAGTACAGTACTTGTGATATTTCCATTGCAGAAAAAATAAAAAGCTTTTGATACAGCCTATTCAGCTGAACGTGTCTGTTCATTCAATAATTACGTAAGAACAATTTTCTTGTTGGAATAAATACCTTCCTAAGCATTCCTTTAATAAAGGGTACAGGAGGGAGGCAGATGAAAGACAAATAAAATCAAGTCCTAGCCTTCAGGCAACTAACAATCTAGCCAATCGACAGACATACAGGTAACTCAAAAGCACTTGGAAGAGCAGGTATGTTATTAAAAAACGCAGGGAGCACGGGAGGATGAAGCAATTGACAGCAGGAAGGTGGGGGAAACTCAGGGAGAAGGTGGTGTAACTGGAAACTGGACGGATGAGTAGGATTTCATTCCAGAAAAGGTATTCGTGTGTTCCTTATGTTCACAAAAAAATTCTCTCACTCGTCCTCTCCCATAATCTCAGTTTTGTAACCCACCGACTGGAGCACAGATGAACACCAACGCTCCCCGAGACAACGAAATGTGAAGCAAAACCCCCCGAAAACCAAGGCTGGCACGAGCAGAAGCGTTTCAAGCCCCAAGACCACCTGGGGGGAGAAGGCCTGTGGGGAGGCCCAAGCCCACCCGGGCCCGGCGCGGCTGGGGACGAGGACCCAGGGCGGGCGAGGCCCTCCTGACAGCACAGGGCTCCCCCTGGCCCGGCCCGGCCGCCCAGGCCACGGAGGCCGCCGCCGCGCGCAGCTCGCCTCCGGTCGGGATGCAGGATGCTCGGCCCACCTGGTCCACCTTGGGCATCACCTTCCACCGGCCCCCGATCCGGAAGCGCAGCAGGTTGTAGAACTCCTCGGGGTGTCCCAGGCACTTCACAAACTCCATCGCGGCGGCGGTGTGCCGGGCCTCGGAGCGCACCTCTCCCGTCCCTCCGGCTCCCACCGGCCGGCGGGAGCGAGCGGGCGGGGCGAGGGCGAGGGCGGGCCCGGTGCGGCGTCGCCCCGCCCCTCCATCCCGCCCCACAACGGGCCTCGGGAGCTCGCGCCGCGGCTCGCGGGCTCGCGGGGTGGACTGACGGGCGCCGATTGGCCAGGGCCGCTCGCACCAGGAGACGCCGGCCAATCGGCGGTGGGATGAGTCTGGCGTGACACCACTCTAGAAGCTCATTGGAGGGTGAGAAAGAGGCCGACGAGCGAGATTGGTCACCTAATTCGAGCCTTGGTTTGCCTACGCTTGCTCCTGACTAGGAGCGCGCGCGCGTGGCGGGGTCGGAGTCCGGTAGCCGGGAGCACTGAGGGGCTGAGGCCCGGGCGTGACCCCGGCGTTGGCAGGGGCCGCTTTTCAGGGGTCCGCCGCGGTTTTGTCAACAGGCCGCCCACATGCTCGGCCTTGTTTGCTCCTGCCGACCAATTAGCCCTTCCCGGGTGCGCTTGGCCCAGAGCCGGAGCTGAAGACCTTTGACCGGTGGACCCACCGCCAAGTTGTGGGTCTCTGTAGCCGACGGCGCCCGCTCCCCCCCTGCGGCGCCGGCGCTCCTGGGGTCCCCGCTGCACATCCCACTTCCAACCCCCCTGAAGAGGGTTGGAAGCCCTAATATGACATGTGTGTGGAAGTTGTGTGGAAATTTCTCTCATCCTAGCTCTCTCAAGCCTCGGAACTACCGAAGCCGCCTGCGGTGTTTTGTTTTTTTTTTTTCTTTTGGTGACGGGGTCTCGCTTTGTTGCCCGGGCTGAGGGCGGTGGCGTCAGTTTACCTCACAGCCACCTCAAACTCCTGGCCTCAAGCCATCCTCCCGCCTCAGCCTCCCGAGTAGCTGGGACTGCGGGAGCAGGCCACCACACCTGGCTTATTTCTTCTCTTTCTTTGTAGAAGCGGGGTCTTGCGTTGCTGCTCAGGCTGGTGTTGAACTCCTGACCTCAAGCGTCCCGCCTCAGCCTCCCGAAGTGCTGGGATGACGGGCGTGAGCCACCGTGCCGGCGCCCTGCCGTCTCTTTTAACACGGCAACCAGCAATCCTTTTAAAATTTAAAGTCGGTTCTCCACACAAAACCACGCACGGCGTCTCCATCTCACTCAGGGCAAAAGCCCAAGTCCCGAAAGCTCGACAGGCGCTCACGCCGCGGGCGCAGCGAGACTCCTCGCGGAGTTAGGGTGCATCAAAGTAACACTTTACTTACTGCCCTGAGGAAGCGAGGGAGGGAGGGAGCGGCCTCGGCGCCGGCATGGAGGAGTGC